CTGTTGTCATGTGAAATCCTCACACCTCTCACATCGTCAGTCTTTATTTCTGGAAAGAACGACTGTAGTTTGATACTAATTATAAAGAAAAAAAGAGTTTCCTTGAAACAATTGCTAATTTAAAATCCAGCAAAAATAAATAAAAAAATCTTCAAAGTTCATTATTCATTTATTATTGGAAACATTAATCAACATATATGTTGAATTGCACGCTTGCTTGTAGACACATTTTACATTTATTACATTACATTTATTTTTGCATGCACAGATGACCTGCTGGCAATGATTAAAAGATTATCTAGGTTACATTAGCAATTATTTGGCAATATTCAAGTAGAAGTATAACAACTGAAAATGGTCCCTATTTTCTTCGTAATTCATACACACAAATTAGACAGGCCTTTCCAGGAAACTTCATGAAGATTATTAGGACATTATGCAGCATTACAAACCTCAGAAATCTGATCTTTGGGGATTTAGTCTTCTTCAATTTCAGTGTAATTTGATAGTAAGTTAAGAAAATCCTCCTGCTTTGGTCTTATGAAAAACAAAATGAAAAGAAGGCAGTTCCTGATAACTTTAGGGGATACAAGATTTCTCAGTGCAGCACATCTTTAAGACGCACCATGACTTCAATTATGCATGTTAAGTAATTCCAGAGCATTGGATCTTCCTTATGAGTTCAGTCTATCTGAGCTTCCTCCTCCCTGCACAGCTTTGTGGCACTGGTGTACAGTACACAGAGCTCTCGGAGAGGGATGCGATGTGTTCAGGCTGCGCCGCCGCGGGACCAAAGCAGCCTTTAGTGCTTAATGACCTGTCTGTATGGCAGAGATTTAGAGACACATACAAAAGTAGAGCCACAATAGGGGACCCGCTGCTGCAATTCATCTTCATTTTAATTGGGAACATTTTGTGTTGCTCGCTCCTCCACATTAATAAACCAAAGCCCTACAGCAGTTTCTCAAAAACTCATTAATGCACAAGACACAGTCCAAGCCAGGTGTTGCTGAGCAGAGGACACGCCAGAAAAGAGATTTTTTTTCCTGTTTATCATCTATCTATCCTTGTCTTTTCACCATTATTATCATCATTGCCATAATTTTTCTTATCCTCATTGTTTTCTACAGCTGCATTATTAGAAGTGATGCTATCTCCAACAAGCGATATCAAACAATTATAACAGAGATGAACAGTAGCACTTATTTAGATTTTATTACTGAGCCAAAAAGACTTGTTAATAGTGCTTTTTCAGTTATTTTCAGGTCTGACCATCACTCAGAGACTCCTTGTTAGACCAGATCTTGTGGGATTTATCGATGCACAGTGTTCAGACAGACTGTCTTGCCCCCTCTGAGTTGAGCCATGTGTGGGAAACGGCACACAGCGAGGGAGAGGCAGGCTACAAAGGGCCATCTGCCGCTACAAATGCTGGAGCTGTTTTGGGAAACTGAGTGGTGATTCACGCTGGCAAATTGATTCATTTCTTTTGCTGATAACCACCTTTTTTTCCTTGTGCCCATATGCTGCAATGGCTTTGAAAAGACCCGTTGAAAAACATGTCTCCCTCACCACAGTGAAAAGGTACAGGGCGGGTGCACAATAACGGCAACATCTTACAATATGCAGTGATGCAATCCAATTCAACACCACAAAGTACAGCTTCAGCAATCACCACAAGGTTAAACGTGCACCTTTCTGAATATCATAAGCTTGGCTTTGCTGCAGGGCTTTGTGTTGAGGTTCATTGTGTTCTATTTTTGCACATTAATCCTGGCTGGTTATTGTTGTGATTGCAGCTGCACGACAATCTGCGTGTGTATCTGCACATATGGAGCGTATGTTTGGTAAGTGCACTGCAGGTGTGTATCTGCTTTGAGGGACATTGATGGAAATTGAAAAGCTTTGACCGGCTCTTATCAGCAACAGTCCATAGCAACAAACCAGGCAGCAAGATGGGGTTTAAAAAGCGCACCGGCTAACCTGCCTGTGCTCTGGAGATCACACAAGCTGCTGGACTTTCCACCCGTCGCTCAGCATCCAAGGGAGCCGAGCACATGTGCTCTGAGATGGGTGGGCGGGGGCGGGGGGGGTTGATCAGTACAGCAGCGGTGGTATCTGAGGGAGAAGCTGAATGTTGGTATGTTGTTTGAAATTTACATAAACAAATCCGTCATTATTAGCAAAGGGTACCGAAGCTCGGCTTCCCACCTGTTGTTGTATCCCTTCATCTTCTTCGGCTCTGCCAAGTTTTGGTCTCACACTGTCTCAGAGGGATCAATCATTTTAAATGTCAGCCATGCAAAATTGGGTCTGTCCCAAACTGGAGCTCATTCTGTGAGTCACGGTGGCTTCCTCGAGGTAGAAACAAAACTAAGTAAAGTGAGCAAAAAAAATCTGCACAACAAAAGATTCCTTCATGTGCTCATGTGCTGCAGAGTTCCTCTCAATCTTGCATGCAGTGGGTAGAAGAACCATAATCACTCAGGAGTTGGGATTGCCCCATGAACTGCATGAATAACAAAATGCATGGAAAATGTTTAATATCTTAAGCTGGATACCTCCCTAGGTTAGCTCAGAAAACAAAATTAGCTTTTAGCATCCACTGATCTGGTCAGAGGATTTTAATAAAGTGCTGGATAGTTTTTCACAACTCGTGAGGTGTGTTGGAAAAGTGCATGAATGCATGGGGATTTTTTTATTTTTATGTCAGAAGTAAATAGCGGCCTTCTGCTTTGATCAGTGATCATGAAATGAGTTTTCATGGGAAATTGACATCACTGATGTTGGCTGCAGGAGTTTGATGAGACCGCAGTAACAAGGCAAGTTACTGACAGAGCTGCTGACAGACTGTGAGACTGAGAAGGACTGCCATGGTGCTATCACTCTCTGAGAGGTTTAGACACACACACACACACAAAGAGGCTCATACAGACAGGCACAGATGTACACACAGCTGCAAACATACTGACTCATACACTCTTTACTATGCACAGATGCACAAACATGTACACGTACACACACACACGCACACACACTTGAGAATGTCACGTCGTCTGGATGAGTCTGACAGTCACCAGGGCCACAAGATCACACTCTTCACGCTCCTGTGGTGCTCTGACAGCCACTACCAGCCACTGTGTGTGTGTGTGTGTGTGTGTGTATTACAGTGAAATTACTCAGTGACATGCTTCACTGTCTGTCTATCTGTATAATATCTATTTGATATTTGTTATGTAAATATGTGCCGTGGTGTGTTCAGAGTGTTGTTGTCAGTGCATCGTCACAGTTACTTGGATTCCCGCTCTGAGGAAACTGACTGTGAGTTTTGTTTGGAGAAACAGTTTGTTACTCACTGATGAGGAACACTTTGCGTCTGTCAGCAGGAAGATGGAATAAGACAGCTTAAACAACCGTCAACTTACTGAGTACAGCTTGGACTGCACCCACATGTTAAATATACATTTTCAGACATGGTGAAAGTTTTCTCTTCGTAAAATGTGACACCTTTGTCTACAGAGGGATTCTCACAGTCTGCTACACGTACTGGTTTATGGAAATGAGTGCGGTGTGAAACATTCCTGTGTCAATCTGACGCAAAGCCTGCAGTGTTTTATTTGCAAACTGTGGGTCACAGCGAGTGTGTGATTGCAGCCTGTGAGACCATATTTGTCTGTGTGACAGAGCCTCACAGTGCAGCGGGGAGAAAACGCATCACACAGACAGACGGGGAGACTCTCTCTGGCCATATCTGCCAGGGAAGACAAATAAAAGCAAGTAGAGGAGTATGTGTTCAAGTTTGTTTTTTAATATTAACTAGAAAAAAACCAACATATTTGCCCACTTCCTTCACCCGATTCTACACAAAAATAATTCACCCTCACCGAATGAGAGGAGGTCTCCCATTGCAGAAAAGTAACTCACTAGCAAACACGCTCTCTAGTCACAGTATGTGCTGTTGGTAAACAATATTAAAAAAAAATGCAGCTGTTAAAAATCAATCAAAAGTGTAGTAGTCATCAGTAAACGTAGAGTAACATTATACATTTGTGTTTGAAGGCATCATAAAGACGTAGCTACCACATCTGAAGACATAAAATAGCAGTGTAGAGATCAAAACACATTTTATACATTTAACAACACAGCAGCCAAAACCACACAACGGACACATTCTGAGCTAATGTTAGCTTCCCATCAAGGTCAGTTCATTTACTGAATTTCATTGTCATTTTCCACCCAACACGCACTCAACTCTCAATGACACACACAACGGTGGAACTCACGCTTCTGATCAATATTATAAAATTCCCCTCTCCACACACTGATATAAATAGGACACACAAGAAGATCACACTGCCACCTCATATTAATAGTCTTTACCCTTTACCCAGCAGAGCAGGTCGCCTGTTGGATTTTTTTTCTTTTTTTTTTTCCACCATTGTTGATTAAAGTCGCAGTGTGAATCAAGCTGTTTTCTCGTAGTCTCTGTGTCTTTATCCATGACCTTTTAAAACTTGTCAGCCACCAAGTGTGATTTGTGCCTGAATTCACGGTATTAATTTTAATGAATTGTATTAATTCGCCTATTGAGCTGGCAATTGTTAGAAGATAATGTTGGCTTTATTGCTGGAGCATTTGGAGGCAGCAGAAACAAGTTCTCGACACAGCATCGACATACCTTCACCTATTAAGTTGATATGTATACACATCCAATAGATGCGGAGCAACATTATCATTCATTTGTAGTCCTGTTTCTGGCCACCTGATGAATGTAATGTGTCTAATATTTACTCTCTGTTTAGCTCTATTTTTGGTCTCTACCAGCTTGTGAGGGAAATGTCCGGTTCTCTAGCCACTAAATGCTCCACTACGCTCACCAGTTAGTCTCTAACTGTGTCCGTCTCCTGTTTGGTGCTGGATAGTGTTGATTTTGTCAGCTATTTTTTCATTTAGTCTTAGTCTTAGCCATGTGTCAAATGTCCTTGTTAGTGTTTATAATATTTTGTCAACCTTATCCTTTTTTTTTTTCTTTTTTTTTCTCCATTGTTTTAGTTGACTAAAAGTCTGGGCGTTTAAGTCTTGTCTTAGTCAAACAAAACAGAACTATTTTAGCTTAGTTTGAGTCAATGAAAACTGACATTTAATCTTCTTTATTCTCTTTAATCTTAGTCTAATAGTCACCAGAAAAAATATCACCTTGTTTCTTTCCTAAATTCAATGTGCTCATTGTGTGCTGCCGGCAGAGGAGGCATGTACAGCACAGGAAATGGAACTGCTGCACTACGAAAATAAAGAGAGATTTTAACATTCTTATTTTTTTAAACTACATTTTAGTCTTGTCTTTTTTTTGTCAGCGATATTTCATGTTGGTACAGTCACAGTTGGTGTTTAAATGACATTTGTGCCGTCCTGTATTAGTCATGGAAAAAAAAGGTCATTGACAAACATATGTAGTCATAGTTTTCATTAATGAAATGAACACTAGTGCTGGATAGGTAGTGTATGTTGGGTTTAAAAAAAACTTTTTCGCCCAAAACAGCTGCTTGTAACGTGTGGAAACAAAGTGGTGAGAGTGAACCTTAAAGTTGCTGGCCAGAAAACCAAAACAATGAGCTGAGAGGAACTGAAGAATTGGGTGATTATTTTCTATGGCTTTGACAGTATGAGCGACCCCCTCCGCATGCAAGTAACGATATAAACCTTTTTTTTTTTTTCCCAGTATTTTAGACCTTTTCATGTTCTTATCTTTCCCCTCCTAACAGTAAGACAACAATGATGAACAGCTTAGGGACTGTTAACAGATCTGTTGGTCAGGCCTTTGCCCTTTTACTGTGCATCCATTAAAGTTTGTGGAGAAACAGGAAAGTACCAGTGCAGCAGGTTGCGAATGCAAAACAGATGCATGCCAACAACAGATGGATCCCCGAATCACCAACCTACCAAAAACATATCTGCCTCCTCGGTTCTCAGCTGCTTCACTGTACAGTTTAATTGGTTTTTGGCTATGAAAATGCCAATTCATTAGTCGAGGGGGGATTCATTTAAAAATGGAAACTATGCCATGCAAAACTCTTGAAAATAAACTGAAAATATAATTTTTTTTGAAGCACTTGGTCTCTACAACTATATCAACTTTCATCCACATCACATCCGCTGCGATTCTGTCCTTGTATCTTGGGACTCACTGCTTGTACTGGCTACCCACTCTCCTGTCACGTTCTTCTCTTTTTGAACACAAAGCCTGTCGTCTGGCCACATGTAACACAGAGAGTTGCATAATAAACCATTTAACACGGAAAGAGCGAGTGTCTGAGTGTGTGTGAACTTTTTACAGTCATGGTGGAAAACAAAGACTGGAGGTGAATGTAAGGATGGTGAATGTGAACTCAACAGGTGGTAGCTGCACAGTCCATCTATATGATAATTGATAGACGGTGCAGAGCAGATGTGTTGAACACAGATAATGTAGAAAGAAATATTGCCAGTGTGAGATAACTGTAATCAATAAGGATTTTCCTACGCTGACAGGAGCACAGTGTTTGTGAAATAGGCGAAGACTCTGGTGACATTAATCACAGAGAAAATCAAACACAATCCCTCTGGTTCAGGAGGTCTAATTATAAAGAGCGCAGTAGTTTGAAACTCATGTTTTGCCTTTTAGAGGACATAATGGAAACATTTTGTGTTCTTACAACTTGTGAGTGTAAGCATGTACTACACCTGTATATAACTGGTAGACTCAAATAAAGCACTTAAAATGTGTGTGACATAGGTGGCTTGTTCATGCATGGCCACATCTCTACTTATAAAAGTCATTACTCTGTTAATTGCAGCACAGCACTTCGTAACATCCCTGCTCCTGCTTCAATTATGGATCAGTTCAGTCACTGGATGACCCAAACACTTCTTCGTCTGAAAAAACCCCAAAACAAAACAAAAAAAAGATCAAAATGGGGGGAAAAAGCTGCTGGCTGAGAGGAATGAGGGTGATTACTGCTTTCTCAGTCTCTGATCAAAAGTCACGCAGTCTTGTTATGTCTCCCTGTAGAGTCCCCTCTTAACACTTTGATGTTATCTACTCGAGAGGAAGACAAGAGAGAGTGTGGTATTGATGGTGATAGGTGAGAGAAGAGTACAACTTTCTCCCTTCTTTCTCCACCTGCTTCTTCAGTAAGACCTGATGAAGGAGAGGAGGAGGAGGAGGAGAAGGATGTGGATATGATTGTCCAGGCTTTAGAAAAAATCCAAAGAAGTGACATTCTGGCCTTCATCAGAGCCTTCACTCAGACAAGTGAATAGTGCAGACAGAGACGAGAACACGGAGTAAAAGTTCAGATGACTCCGTAGTCCCTGAGGGACTTGAGCAACACCGTGTCCTTGACGTCGCTGAAGACCCTGCGGATATTGCTGGTGTCGGTGGCGCAGGTGAAGTGTGGGTAAAGAGTCTTCCACTCGTCCCTCTTGTCGCGGTTGATGGCCTGCTGCTCGTACAACTTGCGGATGTAGTTCTTGGCGTCCTCTGGGTCTTGCCTCTTGCCTGTTACAGAGGTGAGAAGGAGACGAGGGATGGAAGTGAACAACAAAAAGGCAAAGGCATCAAAGGGCGTTTTGATAATCGAGTGATTGTTTAAATCATTTTTCAAGCAAAAATATGAGATGATTCCTCGTTCCAGTTATTTGTCTTATATGATAGTAAATCAAGATGTCAACTTTTGTGCACTAAATCAATCAGTCGAGATAATAATAAATAGATTGACTGATAATGAAAATAATTGTTAGTTGCAGTCTTAGTTCCTAGAGAATATATACGTGGGAGGACATCAGAAATTTTTACTTTTATTTAACCAGGTATGTAGATTAGATTAGATTAGAAAAGACTAGAAAAAACTACTATATTTTCAATAAGGTAACACTTTCAGAATGCATACTTTCCGATAGAATGAAGACACAATTACAGTGAAATACAGTCAACATTCAGAAAAATCTGTGCATCTCTTACTACAATAATTTACATTTTCATTTACTCATTCGACAGACACTTTTATACACATCACAAAAGCTTCAGTGCAGCAGGAAACCTAGCGTAAGTACTAAGTAATAAGTGCAATGAGATCAGGTAAATAAGTGCACAGAAAGTCCTTTGTAAGTGCTCTTTTGGTGCACTTCTTTACTTGATCTCCTTTCACTTATTAAATAGATGCAACAGTATTATCATTCAAAATCAGAAGTGGAAAAAGCTGGAATAGGAAAAAAGTATCCCCTCTTTATTTTATATAAAATAGTGGATTCACTTTGATTCTCAATATGAACTGTAAAAGGCTCTTTTAAATCTTCTCAACACAGAGATTAAAAAAATGGTAGACAATCTTGTCATCTGAGAAAAAGTTCTGCTCTATTGTTTTCCTGCTGATGTCATTTGGTTGGATAATCAGAAGTTACTGTGCAGCTCAGGGGCACAAATTGAATAAAAAAACGATTAAAGCCAATTCTCATGAAGTTGGGGCTGATGGTCATTTTAGTGAGATTTCCTGTTTATTTTCAATTAATGCTTCCCACTTATTACTGGATAACTACCTCTGGCATGTCATCAGGGCCTTATGATGTTGTTAAAGCCAAAGCTGCAAAGCACTAAAATAATAGTCTGCTTGATTTGGATGACAAAAACTTTGGACACCATATGAAAAGGTAACAGGAACCAGAACAAGGTTTCCAATGTATTAGTGTTGCAACTAATAATTATTTGCAAATCCTTTATTTTAATTTGTCTTTCATTCTTTAAATTAATTGTTTAATCCTTGTAATGCGAAAAATTAAAAAGTTAAAACCGAAAGATATTAAATGTACAACGTAATTAAACTAGAGCTGCAGCCATAAATCGATAAGAGTAGATTATCTTGTGGCTGTGAGGAATTTTAAAGACAAAATAATCAGTGAATCTAATAAAATTGTCAGTTGCAGCCCTAAATTAATCAGAAAAATAGCAAATCCTGCACTTGAAAAGCTGGAAGCAGTGATTGTTTGTTGAGACAATTAGTTTTATGTCAATAGATTAATCATTTAATTGACTAATCCCTTCAGCGGTAGTCCAATTCAACAAGTTTATCACTCTGTCAATGTGGGCTACTTAACATCAGTAGACTTGAAGTGCGGTTACAGCAGCAGTAAGAAGGGCCACACAGTCTCCTCACAGGAGCACTGCAACATTAGCAGCAAATAGCAGCCAGTGTTAGGAGCTGCTCAGAGTTGGCATTAAGGTTAAATTGACATCAAGGAGCTTGACCCGGTGTGAGTCATTATTTTGCCCTGCTAATGCTGATGGTAAAACACAGTAGGCACAATGCAGATACACACACACACACACACACACACACACACACACACACACACACACACACACACACACACACACACACACACACACACACACACACACACACACAAATAATCACCTCCAGTCACTAATTCCCACCTTGCACACAGACACACACTTCACACATGTGCACCCGGGGGTTTGTGGGGGTTGCAGGGCTTGCGGGAAGCACAGTATCTGTCTGTGGTTGCCATGGGTAACAGAGGGAGAGAGGGTGGAGGTGGAGGATGGTGGGGACTGTTAGGGCGACGCTCAACAGCCTTTCACACCAGAGAAGCTACAGGCTGCAGCCACATCATTAAGCACACCAAGTACCTGGAAGTGACTCATTTGCAATTATGTGTGTGTGTGTGTGTGTGTGTGTGTGTGTGTGTGGAAAGGTGGGGGAGCAGAGCAAGAAAGAAAGAGGCAAACTAGAAACAAATAACACTAAAAAACTATAATAATCAGGCTTTGCAGCGATTGGGGGGGAGATGCTCCAGGGCAGAAATCACTTGGCAAATAATTTTTTTTTGGGTATGATACATTACTTCCAACAGGTTTGGTAGGATGTGATGAAATAGCCACATGCTCAAAGCAAATTGGCCAGAGGAAAACAACATCACAAGCCCTTTTTGCTCTCTGAAATGATTCTGGACACATTGTGATGAGAAAACACACCTGCAGACAACTAGCTGTCAACAATTGTGCTTGTTGATGATGGGGAGATCTGCAGCTGACCAAGCTCCGCCCCCGGACTATCCATTATATACTGTTGTCATCTCTTGTTTGGATGTTCGAACCCTCACTTTGAGCCTCACCCAAAAGTGACATGAATGTGTGTACTGAATTTTAATAGAAACCAATCCAATTTTTCTCAAGATATTTCATAAAAAAAAAAACCAAAATGTCAAACTCATGGTGGCGCTAGAGGAAAAGTTAAGGGATCACTAAAGTCATTAGGATCCATCATCTGGGAACCATGATTGGCTTTAGAGAAATTCATGACAATCCATCCACAATTTTTTGAGCTATTTCAGTCTGAAGCAAAGTGGTGGACAGACTCAACATAGCCATACCTAGCTGCTAGCAGTGCTAAAAAAAATGACTGTGAATCATAATTCCCGGAGCCCAAAGTGAAATCTTTAAATTGCTTGTTCAGTCTGACCAACAATCCAAATTCACAGTGAAAGCAGCAAATCACATTTGAGAATCTGGAACCAGAGAATTCATAATTTTTGAAGAATAATTCAGAGTCAGAATTTTGGGCCATTTTAAAAATAAAATAAAATTAAAAAAATATCACCTGAGCATGTAATGAACTAATTGGTTCACCACTAATCTGGTTTATCCAACACATACTGTTACATCAGTTCAACTTCACTATAAATTAAAACAAATACATGCACATGTATTCACAGTTTACCTGTGAAGCTGGGGAAGTATTTCTGCAGGTCAGAGGTTTGGATTTTGTCCGCCAGGATGTCAGTCTTGTTGAGGAAGAGGATGATGGAGGTGTTGAGGAACCAAGGGGAATGGATGGTGGTATAGAACAGAGCCAGACTCTCATGCATTCGGTTCTGAGGAACAGAGAGAGGGAGGGGACCGATGACATACAGGAGGCGGCAGCGGTTTGTTTTTAGATTTTGTATTAAGTTTCAATATAGAGGGAGATTTTGTTGTAGGTAAAAGAATTACACCAGCAAGTTTTTAAGAGATTGACTTCAACTTGAAGAGAGAAAAACATGAGTTCTCTGGGATGGCTTGGCAGATTCAGGTGGCTGAGGATGACGCAGAGAAGGGGGGGGGCAGTGCTTTTAAAAGAGCAGGGGGGCAGTTTATGACGGTGGTCTGGAGCAAGCGGGCCACTGTGGAGGTTAATGAATGTGTTGGCAGGCTAAAAAGTGGCTGTGAGAGATAAACGGCTTAGTGACAAGATGGGAGGGAGGAACTGGACAGAAGGCCACAGAGGGCTGGAGAGGCAGGGGAGAGAGAGGGGGGAGAGGTTTTCTTGTGCAAGAGTGAGACCTGCTGGTGGACGGATGAAACGACAGTTAGTATGAGACGCACAAGAGACGATGGATGGATGGATAGTAATCAAATAATTGAATCATTGTTGAAGGTCTACAGTAGCACAACATATATATAATGATGAAAACTATCTGAAAGGATCTGAAATTACTATTTTTGATTTTGATACTTTAATAATATTTGCTTGACAATACTGCATTGGTTTAAATTCTTCTGTTGAGTATTTGTACACTGCAGTATCGGTAGGTCAGTAAAGGTCAGGTAGAAACTAAATCCTCTTAACTTTTAGAAAAGCCTTTTTTATGAGGTCGTGGGAGGCTGGAGCCAATCCCAGCTGCCATTGGGTGAGGGCAGGGTACACCCTGGACAGTTCGCCCCAGTCTACACACACACACACACACACGCACACACACATACACCTACACAAAGCTCTTACTATGGTTTCTCTTTCCTCCAGGACCTGGTCGTACTCGCTGAGGGAGGCCAGGAAGATGAGGGAGGTGACGTTTTCAAAGCAGTGAATCCACTTCCGACGTTCTGACTTCTGACCGCCCACGTCCACGATCCTGTCCCCAGCAGAGGAAGAAGGAAAAGACCTATTTACATTTATTCATAAAGGTATAGTGTTTTCTTTTTTTTTACTGTCTATCTACCAATTAAACCGTCTCTTAGCTGGATTGGATGAGAGGGAAAATATGCTCACATCTCACAAGGATTCAAACTGGCAACCAATCAGTACATTGTTTGCCAGTATACTGTTCAAGTTAACATACATACAGTATATACAGAGCTGTAGCTAAGTCTTTAGACCAACACATTTTCTATTGGTTTGGTTATGTACTTTAGATTTGAAATGAAGCCCTAACACGCCATTAAACTTTGAGTTTGCTTACTATGTCTCAAAAGCCAGGAGGAGCACTGTTTACTACTTTGATTTCTTCAGTTTTGTATCAAAAATGTTTATCTCTTTGATTTATGACTTTTGTTGTAAACAATGAAGGTACGAAAATGTGTTTGTGAAAATTATTCAAATTAGTTTTCCCTACTTTTTTTTGAGGTAGTGTTTGAAAAGCCCACGCAGGTTGGACATATGTACGTATGACCCAACAACAAAAACGTCTTTGATTCATTCATTCATTTGTCACGTCCAGTGTGCTGGAGTAAGGAAAATGTCACTGTGTAGGTGCTTACACTCCCCCCTGTGGCTCTCATACAGCTGCTAATAAGCCTGTCTGTGAAGTAGAGTTGTACGAACTCTAATAGCGCGTATCTTTTGTGCGACATGCTTTCACACACATGCTTTCACTCTTTGTACTTATTGACCATTTTCCACAGCTCATTGTGAATCCAGAAAAAAATGTGGCGAAGTTTGATCATGACAGGACTGATTGTGAAATAAAACAAAATATTTCATACATTTGCAGAAGGTTTTTTTTTTTTACCAATAAATCCTTATTCAGTATTTTATTTTGTAACCAAAACGTCAAAATGAATCCTTTCCTCAGTTTAGGTTTTTTCATTCTGAGCTCCACCTCATATTTAAGAGTAGGTGTAATTTCATTCGGGAACACAGCGTCTCTTATAAGTGAACTTTGGTTTTCGTCTGTTCAGCTCTGTCGGAGCGTCCTCTAGTCTCAGAGAGAAACAATACCAACAGGCTCAAAATAAAACACACAGAGCGACACCTCACTTCCCGGCAGGACCTACGTTCAGACGCAATCAGAAATGTGATCCTATTGAAGACAAAGCCTCTGCAACAGTCAATAGTACTTTTTTTTTTCACAGTGCAGTCAACAGTGTCACATTAGAGGTTAGTAATCAGAGGACTGGCCACCTTAGTGTGATGGTCCTGATGGTGAAGGAGTAGTCGTGAATGCCCGTGGTGGGGAATCGAACTCGCAGCACGTCCTGTTCTGTGGGGATGTAGTCTTGGCCAGAGATGCGATCCAGATTACTCATGTAGCTGCAAGAGAGAAGGGAAGACGGGAAGAAAAAGACAGAGAGAGTTTTACAGCATGCTAGAAAGTGTTTCTGACACTAGATGAGACTTCTGGTAAAACATATTGCCTTTGTTTACATCACATCCAGCCTGGACCATGTAAAACAAACTGAAGTGACACAAGAAGTATGATGAATTAGTGATGAATAAAAACAGTGATTAAAATACATGAAGCCAGTGGTGTGAGTCCATATCACCCTGTGTACAGATGACGGCTTTATGGTTTGTGTTGATACAAGCTTTCATTAGCTAATGTTGACTGTACGTCTCTTATCATGCACACACTATGATGATTGAGCTGCTGGGTAAACACAGAACGGGAATAGAAAAGAGAGAAAACAGAGGAAGGCTGAGCCCAGGCTTTGTTCTCTGACACATCACATACTTTGAGCGTGAGGCTCACACCCACTCTGTGTTCAGTCCTTTCATGATGGTTAAACCCTGTCTGTGGGTAACTCTGCTGTGCTTGTTAAGGTTTTCACTATCAGTTTAAAAGCCAGTCTGGTGAGACTGTCTCTTAAATCAGCTGGTGGTTTCAACATGGCTTAGAAATGAATAATTACTGTGAAGAACTAGCCCCCTCCAGTGGTCTGAGTACAGAACACCAAGCGCGAGTGTTAAAGTAAGAAAGAAAAAAGTAAGGATGTGGGGTTAGTACAAAGACAACAATGAAATGCATTAAAAATGTCACTGGTTTGAAAATCTGAAAGGGGTCTGAAAAATGAAATAATTCATGGCCTTATCAAGAAATAGGTATCCTTTATTTTAAGATAATGTCAGAAAAAGCTTGTTTGCAAGAGAACATAATTAACACTTATTCATTATTAATTTATCTGTTTATTGTTTTCTTGATTAATTCTTTGGTCCATAAAATGTTGATTTTTTTTGATTTTCTGTCAATCGACTAATCAATTAATCATCTAATCCTGTCACCTCTGAGCTGATTTATCTCTAAAATCAGAACCAGTGATCACAGTGAGAGGAGCACAGGCTTGAAACAACTTGTCTAAACAGACACAGTCTTTGCCGAGTTTCCACTTGTGAGTTTTAGTACAAAGGTCAGCTGTGGTATAGGTAAACATGAAACAATATGTCGCCAACAGGTTTCCTTGTGATACATTAGCTGGCAACAAAATTGCGATGTTGTTAAAACACTTGTACCAAGTATATTTTATAGCAAATGGAAAGTTGTGTCCTAACTTTAATACAGATATTTAACTGTTGTGCTTTGTTGCAGTTCAGCCTTTTTTTATGTTCTGATTTTTGATATTACAGTAGAATGATGACACGTGTTGTTATCCCTTATGTTATCTAGCCATGCAGATAGTTTTTAAGTAAACTGGCAAGGTATCTGTTTTGTGATTAATAATGTTTAATAAGACTTTATTTGTGGTTCGAAAAGGGTTTAAAAATCACAGTTAAAAATCAATCAATCAACATCAGCACATTGCTCCAGAAACTGTTTCTTCCATGTCAGCAGTGGGACTACTTTCTACCAATGAAATAGTTCCTATAGAAACAGTTCACAGTGAGGTCTGTGGATTATTCATCAGTAACATGAACACTGTTACTGGAACGATGACTGATGCACCACAAACAAACTTCTATTCATGTCTATTTTACTGTTTATCAGTAGAAATTTCAGAGATCTGGACAAATAAACCCAAAAAATATATTTGAATCTGCTGCTTTTCTTTTGCTTTCCTTTGTCTTATAATATTGTGAATTAAATATCTTTGTGTTTTTAACTTTTGGTTGAAATAAACAACCAGTCTAAAGACATCACTTTGGGATTCTAATCCCAATTATTATCTAATCTTTTTTCATAATTTTCTGACGTTTCACAAACTGAAAGATGAATCTATGAATTGAAAATGATGACGTGATGCACTCACAAATTGTTTAATCTCAGATGTCTCTAAAGTAAAGGGTAGAGTAAATTAATACACAGTATTTAGAGGTGTGCTTTCTTCTGTTTTTGCTATGTGCTTTTCTTGCAAAATTCTGTCTACTTCCTATCACAGATTCCTGTATTGTGATATCATCTTTGGTAACTTGCTCTGACAGGGTTTCATCACGAGATACTCTCAGATTTCCAACCCTAACTCAGGATGTGGTACAGTGTAGAGAACGTCCACTACAACACAGATACTCACTATTCTGTGGAATCCAGGAGCTGGTACTCGCAGCGGCGGCTGTAACAGACCCGGATGCCCGGGTCTGCCCAGAGCCGGCGGATTGCGTCAACGTAGCCCCGTTCCAGCTGGGTGATTTGCACTGTGTTTATGTCCTGCAGCCATTTAGCAAAAATCTGAAAGACCGTAAGAGACCCAGCATATCAGAAGATTTTGTGATATACAGAAACTCAAGTGTTTGTGAAGTTTAACAACATCCGCCTTGCTCAAGGATTCAGTTTGTGTGTGTTAATGGTGATACTCCCAGCTTCTATTTATAGACTTTAATGTGGGTATTAAACTAGGTTAACTTACCCTGATGCCCGCACACCTGTGCTGGCATCTGTCTTTGTGAGTAACAGTTTGTGTTCATGTGTAACTAGGCATGTCCTTGTGTGTTTCTGCTGGTGGAGGACTGTGTGCTGTATGTGCAAGTTTACCTCGTTCTCCGGGTTGGAGTAGGGGATTTTGAGCATGGTCATAGCGCCCGTCATAGCCTTGATGGCTGTTAAGATGTTCTGGAAGATACATTTGGCAAAGGTTTTCCTCTCCTCTTCTGAGAAGCCTCGCCCGTGGATGATCCTCATCTGTCGGATGAAGGTGGTTTTTCCACTCTCCCCAGTTCCTGCACCGACAATTAGATAAAATATGAATTGCCAAAAATACTTATTTGTGGTATGATTCTATCCACAAGGCAAATCGGAGGTTAACAGCACAGCATTAAGGTCCTCAGTGTGAACCCACATGCTGACTGGGGCCTTTTTACTATTCATGTTCTATCTGTGTCTGCAAGGTTTTTCTCCACGTTTTCCATGTTCCTTCTCAATCTAAAGACATGCGGAGGAGGTGAAGTGAAAACTAAAATGCCTGTAGGTGCACGTTTGTTTGTCTTGCCTCCTACGACACGGACTGGATAGGTTGTATATAAAACAAATAACAGTGGGATTTAAAAACAGTCACTGAAAAAAAAAAATGCTGGAAGTTTTTCCATAGTAGAATCCCTGGACATTTCACAGCAGTTTAGATTCCAGTTTTTCTGCAGCTAAATGGTCTGACATACTAGCAATATTCCAGATTTAACTGTTATTAACTTTAAAAACTGATCATAAAAAATCATGGAAAAAACCTTAGAGCTGCACTAAACAATATTATTATGTTAACAATGGATCAAACAACGAACAAGGTGTCACTGACAGTAACTACCCCACAGAGAATTACTAGTCAACTCTTCAGTTGCCCTTAACTTTACAAAATATTTTACCAACTTTCAGCTCATTGTTTTGGTTAAATGCCCAGCAGCTTTAATGTTTTGTTTCAGTACCTTGTCTAAGCACCTGTTTTCAGCATAAAAGCTGTACACTAACTGCCCAGCTCTAAACAGCAGACAAACAAAGTTAATGACTACCTTGTGAACATAGTGGAGCATCTAGCGGCTAAAGATCCAGATATTTTTCTGAGGAGTTGGTGGAGACCAAAACAGACCTAAAAGGAGAGTGACTATTGGACTTCATCCTGGTAGCCAGAGACATGGTAGCCAAATGAATGCTAATGTTACTTTGCGTTTGCTGGATGTATAAATAAGCAAGTGTTTTTGAAAAGCTCACCATGACAACTTTCACTAAAGTGATGTCAATGTTTACTACTGCTCCTGCAGCCCCTAGTGGCCCAAAACCGTAATGCAGCTTTAAAGTGGCACATAAAGAATTTATATTTTTAATGTAATGAAGGGAGCACATTTTGAAACTCATAACACTGATGCGTCATCGTCATTGATAATCGTTCCACCTGTTAATTTCCTGCTATAACAAGTCAAAATGTTTTCCACGAAAAAGCTTTTATTAAACTTAAATGGAGGGACATGCTCTGAGAATAGAATTAGCTTTGTCTGTAGTCAGTTCAGAGAGGTTCTAAACCAAAACAAAAAAATGGAGGACTGATGTTTCAGAAAATGGGTCTAAAACACTTCCACCGCTATTGATTTACATGTTGATTAATCGCTCTTTAGCGCAGAAGACTGGTAGTAAGACCCAAGTTACAAAAAGCTGAATTTCATCACCATACTGAGAGTTATTACAGCATCTATTTCTGTGGTAAAGGGATGAAAAACCATCAAATTACAATAGAGGAACAAGGAGACATACGCATTTTCTATTTGCTGTTCATTTTCAGTGTGAGAAATTCAAATTCAAAGGAAGTGCCTGGTTTAGAGATAAAAAGAAAGACAAAAACTTTTTTTTGATTGCCTCATTTTGATATATTGCCCAACATTTCACAACTTCCTTTATTTTATCTATATTTCTGTATTTCACATTTTCTGGTTGTATGCGGAAACAACAGGCTGCAGAACCTACACCACTTCCAGTCGTGATGTGGTTGTTCAAGAGGACTGCCTGATGCTTTCTGGATGTGAATCATTCATTCACTCAAAATCTTTTAGGAAACTAAATCTTTGCTTTGTGTTTGTGCCGAACACTTTACTGTAATTTCTTGACACTGCTTTCAAGGAATAACATCTAATCCTCACACTGAACTGTGTTGAAGACAATACTGTAAATCTTTTATTGACAGGTCTGTTCCCGTACTCAAACATTTGTTTTCAGTAATCTTACACAGTGATAGTGAAGGAAATAAGACTGGGCAATTATTCAGTATTATTGTTTACTGTGTCTCCGTATTATTGAAGGGTTTCCCCCCCAGGAAATTGTTTATAAGAGGTGGTAAGCCTCCAGGATCCTGTTGCATTTTGTCTTGTTATTCATTAGTTTTCTGATAACAGACTACACAAAAACCACACTCATTAAATGTGTGTGCCATTTACCATGTGAAATAGTGCATCTGCTCTTTTTCAATGAATTTTTAATTTCAAGAAAGTCTATACTTTCGCAAAGTAATCTTTATTTAACCACTCCACAGATTTCATGTTATCAAACTATAGTTTTGGCAAGTTGGTAAACGCATCTATTTCGTGCATGACACGTAATTCTTGGGTAATTTTTCATGGGAAATTCAAAATAAATCAGCCAGAAGTCAGAAAAAAAAAAAGTACACCTCCGCAAGTCTGGTTCAACTTTGGGAGCAATTTCCAAACACCTGAAGGTTCCACGTTCATTTGTACAGACAACAGTACACAAGTGTAAACACCATGGGACCATGCAGGTGTCATACCGCTCAGGAAGGAGACCTGTTCTGTTCTGTGTCCTAGAGATTAACGTACTTTGGCGGGAAAAGTGCAAATCAATCCCAGATCAAAAGCAAAGGACCTTGTGGAGATGCTGGAGGAATCTGATACAAAAGTATCTATATCCACTGTAGAACAAGTCCTATATCAACATAACCTGAAAGGCTGCTCAGCAAAGAAGAGGCCACTGCTCCAAAACCGCCATAAAAAAAAAAAAAAAAAAACCAACCCAGACTACAGTTTGGAGCTGCACAAAGGGACAAAGTTCTTACTTTCTGGACAAATGTCCTGTGGTCAGATAAAACAAAAATTAAACTTTTTGGCCATAATGACCATTGTATGTTTGGTGAAAGAAGGACAAGGCTTGCGAGTCGAAGAACACCATCCCAACCGTGAAGCACGGGGGCGGCAGTGTCATGTTATGGGGGTGGGGGGCTTTGCTGGGCGAGGGACTGGTGCACTTAACAAAACAAATGGCATTATCAGGAAGGAAAATTATAAGGACATATTAAAGCAACATCACAAGACATCAGCCAAGAAGTTAATGCTGGGTTGTAATTGGGTCATCCAAGTGGACAATGACGCCAAGGATACCTCCAAAGTTGTGGCAAAATAGCTTAAGGACAACAAAGTTATGGTATTGGAGTGGCCATGACAAAGCCCTGACTTCAATCTAATTGGAAATTTGTGCGTGGAACTGAAAAGGCGTGTGCGAGCAAGGAGGCCTACAAACCTGACTCAGTCACACCAGTTCTGTCAGGAGGAAATGGACCGAGATTCCAACAATTTTGATATAATTTTAAAGGCAATGCTACCACATACTAACAAAGTGTATGTAAACTTCTGACACACTGGGAATGTGATGAAAGAAATAAAAGCTGAAATAAATCATTCTGTCTACTACTACAATTTTACATTCTTAAAATGAAGCAGTGATCTTAACATACATAAGTATATCTGACTTTGTGAAAGCATCAAAGCAAAGGCACTGCTGCTGCCGATCAGGTCTAAAGTCATTAGAGCAGCTGTACAATGGGCCTGTTTCTGGGCTGTGCATCTCCACATTGAGTACCTGTGGTTTTCAGGTATAACCAATCCTAAGATGGACCATTCTTAACATAATCACATGGTGACACATGCTTTACATAGTTTTCTTATTTGGCTGCGGGCTACCAAACAGGCCAAGCAGTTTTAATTTGTATGGTGGGTGTTTCTTATAATAGGCTATCTCCTCAGATTTCACAGTGACCCAGTGTCAGTTAGATTTCTTTCATTTGCTTAATTAATGTATTGAATATTGTTGATTGTCTGCTCTTATAGGCCTCATACTGTATGTTATCATAGAGTGACACACAGCTGTGTCTGGTTGTGTGTATGTGTGTGTGTGTATGTGTGTGTGTGTGTGTGTGTGTGTGTGTGTGTGTGTGTGTGTGTGTGTGTGTGTGGTCACGGACCCAGCAGGAGGATTTTAATTTCCCTTCTCTCCTTCTTCTTCTGCTGCTTGAGGATCCTCTTGATCTCTTTGTCCACAGCGATGGTCCTCTTCTCCTCCTCAGACAGACAGCACATGCAGGTGCGGTGGCACCACTGCCAGCAGCTGGCCATGGCCAAAACCACTGAAATGATACTGTTAATGAATAATCAGCTGTAATAAGCTGATAAGGACTGACAATAAACTCGTTGTCAAGCTGCCATGCAGTGTCCATTTGATGCCCATTAGTTTTTAGTCGTGATTTATTCTGACACACCCCTGGTCCCCTGAGAACTTTTCTTTGTAGCTAAAAACATAATCGCTGCTTTTACAGTGAAGCAAAGCTCTGCCGGATCTCAGTATCAATCCTGCAGCCCTCAGTATCTTTAAAATATTCACCTGGTTGAGTTATTTTTAATCAGTTCCGGCTGTTGTGTCAATAGAAGTTTGTTCGAGAGGAGTTTGGGAGTTACGAGAAAGCAGTAGAGCACCTTACCTCCAGTCAGTCTGTCACACTCCCTGAAAACGAGCAGGTACAGACTCTGATTGCCTTTCGCAGTCCATTTCTCACCGTGCCCCCTGTCCACAGCAACTGTGGCTGAAGCGCTGGGACAGCGTCATTAGTCCACACTCAGACGGAGTTCAAACACGTATTTATATGAATGTTTTTTCAGCTCACAACGACACAACCAGTAGCTCGGGAGAGTCCACCGCGCCTACAGAGGAATGTGCAGTCTCTGTGGTCCACTGAAAACACTGTAAGTGGAATGCACTCTGGGCGACGCTGCGGCAAGAGAGCGGCAAAGCACCGCAGCAGCGCCGGAAGTTAGGCGGCTGTGCCTATAAAATAAGAGCATGCTGTTGTTCTTTGACATAGTTCTTACCAATTTAAAAAATAAAAGAAACATGTAGATGAAGAAACTGAGTAAATTGCTGGGTTTGACTTATAAAAAAATTTAGTTGAAAATATTGCATAACCAGTGATATAATGCAGCCTTGTTAATTATATTCACAAATATAGGCTAGGCTGGCATTCTTAACAATTGTATGATGATACTTGTACTTAACCTGAGTTGTTCCTTTTTATGCTTACATTAGTACATTTATCTAACATCTATTTTGACTATGTTTATCAAATTGTAAGATGGGCTATAATGCCAACTGACTTTACTTTTAAATGAGTTACTTACTTGTAACAGAGCATTAGAAAAGAAAAGGACTCAAAGACGTCCACCGCTGAGTGTTTTCTCACTAAATTTCAAATCATGTATCTGGAACAATCATTGAAACTGTTAGGATAAAGTTAGAGTCTGTTTTTGGTTTTTGGGTCAGTGACAGAGTTTATCTCAAAAAGGGACAAAACGTTGGATAAGTTGAAGGGTTGATGTGTGTGTAAGTAAATAATGTATATCTTTACAGGAGTCAATATAAATAATAGAGAGGAAAAAAGCAATAAAGAAAAAAATTGACATCTGTAAAAACATGCTTACCACATTTTTGAAAAGGAATGTATCAAGTGATTGGGTTGAATGGAATAGGTTACAAGCCATTAAATGGTCTAAAAGCAGTCCACTCATAATTCATAAAACATTTTTATACATTTCCTTTTTAAAACACAGAGAGTCTGACTTCCATGTTTAATTCACATATTTCTTTGTTTTGTATGAGGCTGCAGCAAAACATGGTCACAAAAACAGCATTATTTTGAAGGGCCAATACCGGAAAATGACTTTATACAATTCAGTTTCGTTTGAGCAGTATGAATGAGAGCGGTGCGCTACGGATAAAGTTTCGGCTGCGGTAGAGGTTGACTGCTTCATGTTTCAGCTGAGCTCAAGTGAAATCACGGCCACAGATAAGTTCAACTGAATTACTACTAGTAGGCCTACTATTTGATAGTAAAAAATTAAAATTGTCCTTAGTGTAGGCTGTATTTGTAATCTTTATTTGTCGTTGTCAACTCAAAATATTTAGCTACCTTATGTCAGTATATTTATTGGCTACTAGAAAACATGCGAGCAATAATGAGTGTATATTATACTCTCGTGGCAAAATGTGGTAATAGAAATATCAGTTATTTTTCAGAGTGCAGCGGGTCATCCGGTTTTTATGAGCGTACAACAGGTATTTTGTCACTCCTCCCCGACTGGATGTCAGTCTTTTGTCTCAGCCGGCAGAACCGGTTTGTTCAGACTTTCATGGTCTCACATATTGAGATCACCTGAGCTCTGCATTACCATGGGAACAAGGTGAGGTGAAAGAGGTGTGTACGTATGGAGGGGTCTTGTTAGTTAATTGTATAAAGGTTTAATACAAACCTTCCTGTACAGTGTAATTACTGCATTTCACGCGATGAACAGCCCTTTACATACTTGTCAAGCGTTTTAGAAATTTTGTGTGTGTGTGTGTGTCTTTGATAGTGATATATATATATTGTACATAACACAAGCATAAATTGAAATGAATTTTTATACATGAATTTATGCGTTTTCCATTTTATGTGTGTGATGCTTTACTGTGTTTAGAGCCATATGCACATATATTTTTAAACGTATGCTCTTTAATGAATGATAAGTTATTATTACAGTATTATAGTTAGTATTTTTTCATTAATTTGATCACAATACATTCATTTTGTTCTATGAAATCAACATTGCATCACAATTGTCTTTAATGACAATATGTCAAGATGAAACTGGTGTATTGAAAAAAAGAAATTCAGAGTGGAAGCGGGAAAGAGAAGGACACAAGAAAAGTAAAGTAAGACTAGGTTAAAACATAGAAAGAAAGAAAAAGACAGAGCAGTGGGGAATCCTGCATAGTAAATGGGCGTGGACTGACTAACAGAAAATCACCTGCCACATCCTTCCAGTTACAGGGCGTTAGACATCTGCAGTGTTCACCCGCCGGCAGAGGTGACGCTGAATTATTTCTAGATGAAACCTTACAGACAGCCACAGTGGCTGTGAGACCAGAAAGGAAGAGGAGCGTGAGGAGACTTTGTCCCCTGTCACTGGCTGCTGTGGGAAACAGAGGATGATCAATAATTAATCTGACAACAGCCATCAGACATTGAGACACACAGGAGACGATGGATCGCGGCAGGCTGTGGCCTTTCATGTAAACATGACTTCAAACAACAGATTAACACACATGAAAAATACCATATGTTGTTCTGCGGTGAAGAGTTCTTGAATATTATTGTTTGGAGAATGAACAAAGAACCTTCACCTTAAAATGCCAAGTAGAGAATTTGACAAGGGGAATGAAAAATCCCCATGCTGAGCTCCCTGCACATCCTGTGTTCTTTTTAGCTCCATCTTCAACAAAAACTGTTTGACTGAACGTTACACATTTTTGTGATTTTTCCATTTGAAGTCAGACAGGTTAAGGTCAACTGTACAAGACTGCAGAAATGACATTTTTTGATTTTATTACTTAACACTATATAAAAGTTTTTTTGTTGGTCATGGCAGTTAACAGATCGTTCAAAAGAGACTGAATAAAGTTGTTAGTCACTTCAGTGGGTGGAAGCTTGTGGCATGAGTTTCCGCCCTGGGAGGTGTGGGCAGGCAGGTCAGGCTGTAATCTCATGTGTCATGTTTAAAGATTTTCCTGGTCATACCAAACATACCAACTATGCCTTTGGTGACATCTAAAGCACTTTGTTCTTTCAGGTTACAGTATGTGTCTTTGCCATTTGAGCTACAGAAGATTAACAAGAAACTAAGATAAGATCAGAAAAAGATCACAAAGCCTTTATTGATCCCACACCGGGGAAATTCTCTTGTTATAGCAGGAAAGGAGACCGAGGTAGAAGAAGTATAACAATAGAATAAAGTAGAAAAATAACAACTTGTTCATAAATAAGAAGGTATGTACATAAGCACTTGCATTTGTAGAGATGTTTACAAAGATATTTACATAACTGGCAGCCACTTAGCCAACTTTAAACTTGAATGTATTTTTTTCTTAAATCTAATCGATTTGGTTAAAGGGACTTGATCTCTGTATTTCCGGCCGCCACACCCCACAGACTAATGTACTCCATTTGAATAAATTTATGCGATTTAGGTTAGAAATGTCTTGTTTTTAAAAAAAATAAAAGGAAGAGATTCTGTTACAGGTCAAACACAGAGAGCACTTCTTTGTGTAAAAAATAGTGTTTCTATAGTGGTGTTTTATTGAACCTCACTCTTGCGACTACATCACATGTCCACAAGATGTCACTTGGCTCAACAGCATTGCCTGCTGGCTCATTCACATTACAGAGTGAAAGAGTTGTAATGTTATTACCACTGGGATGATGATGGCAGTGAACACCTAAGAAATAATATGCTTTTTGCTTGGTCACCATCATAATCATCATCATCGTCATCCTATGCCTTATTCTCAGTGCAATAGTAAAGTTGACTGAAATCACTGGAGTGATGGAAAGCTACATCAGTGCACAGTTTTGAGGTACTTGGACTTGATTGTTTCCATTTTTTGCTACTTCACCATTCCACTTCGCTATATTCATTTGTCATCTGTCAGCATTGGAAGATTAAGATTTTATACACAAAATATGATGCAATCTTACAGATTAAACTTCCAGTATATAATATAGTAAAAATTTGGCTTCACCTTCACCAGCAACATTAAAATGCTGCTTTATGTTAATGGCTCAATAATGATTAGAATTTTTGAAATGGAGTGGCCAAGTTGGGGCTGAGTGTTGTATTATGAAGTTGGCAATTCTTTTTTTTTATTTTTGCATTTTTTTGTTTCTTGAATTTAGTTAGACACCCAAAGTTCCTGCCGTGCAGAGAGGCCACAAATTGGCCACCCTTTTCGATTGGATCGATGTAATATGTGACATAATATAATGTCCCATACAGAAATGTAATATATGACATATATGCCCCTTTATCAAGACAGATGTTGCCATATATATATATATTATTATCACATATATAAATCCTCTGGATATATGAAGATATAAGTATCAAACATATGTGAAATACCCATAGTAAAATGCAAGTTTATCAAAACAAAATACTTACATACTTATATACATATATGTAAATATATTGTTTTACATCATATGTATATATATGGAAATTCAATACATGTACATATATTACATTTGTGTATGGGGTATATAATGATGCTTTTGCCGCTTAATGCCCATTTTACTGACAATACTTTGGTACTTTCAGGTAAATAACATTTTGAATGCAGGACCCTTATTTTTAACAGAGTAGTTTTACATTGTGGTATTACTGTTTTTACTCATGTAAAGGGTCTGAATACTTCCACTGTATATGGATCAAAACATGGATGAATATTTTTTCACAAATTGAACACAAAGTGCATTTCCCAAACTGATTTTATAATCCTCCAAATTATTACGTAATTAAAGCTTAACCACATCAAAACACATTATGCTGAGCTTATCAAGCATGATGCATCATAACAGACCAAACTACCCAACAGTATAATAAAGTAGCTGAAATGAGATGAAATAAATCACCAATAAAAATGATTTTATACAATAAACATAAAAATGTTACCCACTAAAAGGATTATCATGCACAATTATCATTTTTACTTTTGACATTTGAGCACATTTTGCTGATAACAGTATTTTTTACTTAAAATGTTTTACTCAAAACCAGACAAAAGTTAACTGAGGTTACACAGCTACACCCAGGTGCTACATGAACAAGGGTCATGACATCTGTGAAAAAGGGGAACAACTGTTAAATACTGTAAGTGATGGGCACAGTGTTTCTTTTACTCGATCCTGCATCGTACGTGTCACATTACAAAGTAAATAAGAGACTTTCTGTTTTGTTATACCAGCTGGAAAACATGAGACACTTTACCCCTATCATCCATATAGCAAGTAGACACCCTTTGGGTGTGTTTTGCTAATTTTGGGCAAGAAATGTTGTGACAACCGTTGTGTTTCTGACATAAAAAAAATCAGATCTATTGAGTAAAAGTACTAATACTACAATATAAAAATATCCAATTACAGGTGCATGACATGGATGTCCTAAAAGTACATAAGTGTTATTATCTAAAAGTAGCAACTAATTCCATAGAAATTGTTGCTTGTGAGTGACACATATTATTTCTGATGCACAAATGTGTTCATACCATTATTGTGTATCCCGTAGCTGTGGCTGGTTTGAGCAATTATACAAACTCTGGTATTGAAGTCTACATGTTCCCTCCATATAGTCACAAGATGAATCCAAGGGTAGTGAGATGAAACTGGGGCAGGAATGAATGAGAAAGTAATTTATATGACGCGAAATTTTTTCATTTTAGGGCTTTTCTTGAATCATTTCTGTTATTATAAAATTTTAAATAAATTTTACCTCTCTGGGCCTCAAAGGTTATTTAAAGGAAACCAACTGATAAGTTTGGATGGGAAATATGGTGGAAATGACAAGAACTCGTAGACATCTGAAACATGACAAGGACACACAACTAAACACCGCTTTTTAGAGAAGCGAGTTTGGGACAGAAAGGTCGCTGGTCGAGGACCTACACCAGCAGGAAGACATGTGGTCGGGGGGAGTGAATGAACAGCGCTTTCCCCTCCCTCAACATCTGTGGTGGAAGTGCTCTCGAGCAGAGCAGGCGGATGGGTTAAATGCAGAGGTCAAGTTTCTTGTGTGTGTAAACATACTTGGAAAAATAAAAGATGAACTTAATCCTGCTGTCAAAAAAATGTAGTTGAGTAAAAAGTATGATATTTCCATCTGAAATGTGGTGTATTAGATGTATAAAGCAGCACAAAATGGAAATAATAAAGTACCAGTACCAGTACCTCAAAACTGACAAAGCCTTTTTTTTTCACAAGCCAAACAGGTTGGAAACCATTGGTTTAAAGCTTATTGTAAATTAAGTCATTTTAATGTAAAATCTTAATCTGAAAAGTAACTATTGTAGGCCTTACCATAACTGTCAGATGTAGAGGAGTAAGAAGTGGAGATTTCCCTCTGAAATGTAGTGGAGTAGAGATATAAAGTCATATCATAAAATGGAAAAAACCAAATAAAGAACGGCCTACTTTAAATTGTAGGCTACTTAAGCACAGCACTAGAATAAATGTAGGCTACTTAGTTTCTTTCCACCACTGCTTGTTTGCCTAGTTTCAGGTGTGAACTTGAGAAGCTCTTGCAGGCAGCAGCAGAGACGAAGAAAAACAAGCAGCTCTGGAGACAGTCAGGATGAGCGTACAGTGAGGGGATGTGCAGGTCTTTGACAGGAGATGGGCGTTGCCCGTCCAGTCAAATGTCAGCAGCTTTCGCCGACACGCCTCCAAAAGGAAGACTTCAGCTCAAGCAAACTTGGGAGGTTAACCATCCAGGAAACGTCCCTCCTCAAACGCCTACAAGCTCTGTTTTCATTCGCTCTGCTTCCGTCAATCAATTCTATTCCAAGCGACGTCAGCAGCAGCGCCACACCGGGGCTGAGGAGTGGGTGACGAGGAGCGGTCACCACCACCAGGAAAAAATACCAGGAGCCATAAAATGCACGGACTACAGGGGTCCATTTGACTGTCAGTAAGACGTTTTCGTACTTTGAGGGTTTGGTCCTGGCGAGGTCTTTGGAGAACTCGAGTTTAATGCGATGGAGGTCCTCTGTCAGGCCGAGCTTTCTGGTTTTTAGCCAGTCGGCTGCAAATCCAGGGATGCCTAGCTGAGCTAACCTAGCCAGCTAACAATTAGCCTGTCCATTTAGCTATCCTGGTCACTGGAGCCTCGGTCTGCGAGAGGATACCTGCTCTGAGGACAATTGTGAAGCGGTAGTTTCATTGCGGCTGTTACAAGGCTTATTGTTCGTCGATTGCTGCAGACGCTGGGAAAGCCTTTCTGTTTGTTTAGTGGATGGACAGTTTGACGGGCGCTCATTGTCACTGCGCGGGCGTACGGTGTTGGTTTCGGGGCGGCTAGGCTTGCGCTCGGCCGGGCAACCAGCGGAGGGATTGTACAAATGTGGCAGTGGCAGCCAATTGTGTCCCGCTGTCTCTGGGACCGAAGTTGGTAGCTTAAAATTAAAAACCGTATTTTCGATGAGTGTTATTCTCACGGGATATCTAGCTACGCGGGAAAGGGATTAAAAAGTGTTGGCACGCTGAAAATTCATCAACTTGTCACAATAGCTTGGTTGTAACATTAGCTGCGTTTAGCTTATAAACTAATATTAGCTTTCTTGAAAGAACATCAAATAAAATGGTTATTTACACCTTCGCTATTAATCTAAGATGTTTGCAGACGTGTTGCATTGCAAATTTTCTGTGATCAGCTGTCAGTCCTTGTAGCCTAAGGATTTACACAAGACTTTGACTAAGCTGTCAAATATTTGACACTTGACAGCAGTTTTACCATCAACAAGGAAGGCCAGATTCTGCTACAAGCCTATCAAGCTCGGTTATCAGTGTCTGGAAATAACTTGCTGTAAAACGGACTGTTGCTCAGAGTGGGTTTATTTATTTGATACTTTGTGTGAGGTGTAGCCCGGCGCCCCTTGTCAGACGGGCTTTTCAGCTCATGCGGTGATGACTTTAGACTCCATGATGGCTTGTTGCCTGAGTGAGGAGGCGAAGGAGTCCAAACGAATCAACGCTGAGATCGAGAAACAACTCCGACGAGACAAGAGAGATGCAAGAAGGGAGCTGAAGCTTCTTCTGCTGGGTAAGCCTGCATGGTTTGTAAAGGTTTCACATACTGTCTGAGGCTGGCATGGCTGGAGACTAGTACTTGATCTCTACCTCTGACAGACACACACACGCACGCAAAGCTAGCTTTGATTGTACTGTATAGACTTCACATGCAAAACACTGCACCCACAATTGCCCAAGACCCATTGCCCTGATCACCACAGGATTTGCCTGTGATGTGATAAGGGAAATCAAGATGTGGTTCAGGTGCTGTTTCCAGCCCAATGGGAGCTAGTAGTGGAAGAGCTAAGAGCACCCATGAATTTAAATACGCTTCTTAAGATATATATACATTTGAGTGTATAAAATTTACCCAACCATTCTACATATATGTGCTGGGTTTCCTCAAAGCTACCATAGCTGTCAATCTTTGGTCACAGAATTTAACAGGAGAGATTATTATTATGCCTTTGCTGCAACTCACAGTACACAAATATAATGTGTTTTTTATGGCTTGAGTAGTCTCTTGCTGTAAATGAAGACTTTCGTTAAAGGTCACAGAAATCTGTGTTGTGTCCTCTGAATTTAAAAGTGTTGATATTTGTTTGTTGTGAGTAAAAACCATTTGTTTTATTCTGAATTATGTAAATTGTAAAGTGTGACTTTGGTTAAGAAACGCCATTCACAACCAGCTGTTAGCAGTTCCCACTTATTAACACCTTTCCTTTAGTTGTGTTCCACTTTCCTGTAGTTTTATCTGCCTGTAAAACATGGCTTAAATGATGAACAAGAGTTGGTTTTTAATTAAGTCTGCTACAAGGGGGACAGTGCTCTCTTGGAGTCTGGTCTAGAGAGGGCCTCCACTGAGGTGGCCTACTCTGGGAAATAACTGTTCTCCAGATAATAGGCTGTGCCATTCACAGTCTAATTTTCATGTTTATGGAAGAGTAGCGGAGCCATTGAGCATTTTTTTTATTTAATATTACAATGACAGAAAAGGCTGTTCTTTTGTGAATTGCACGCTACAGTGAGCTAAAAATTTAGGTTTAGCTACAGAACAGTGTCACTAGGATTGGCAGGGATTCAATATCATGCTAAATGACACTTCAGCAACTCTGTGGTTTGTTGTCACAGGTGACCGAATTCACACTTCCTGGTTTTAAGGATGATCTCACCTATAGCTTCCAACACTGTAAGAAGAAGCAGCTTACAATAAATGACTGTTTTTTGTCTCTGTTCTGAAACAGTTCCTATTTATGGGTTGTACTATCTCTGCCAGAACCTCAGGGGAGCTGCACTTGTTGAATGCTGATAGAATGATTATTGTTATAGCTTTAGTGTCAATGATATAAAATGTTTTATTAGCAAGTAGACTAGTGGATGCATATTTATCTCAGAATATGACCAGAATAGCTTTCCAGAAAGATCCATTGAGAAACCCTCTAGCTACAATAAAATAGTCAAGTAGATGCCTGTAGAACAACAACTAGTCTGGCGGTGGGATAGAACAAAACAAGATCTCCATTCACGCTTCATGCATTTTGGATGGATTCGACAGCATGAGAGGGATCTCTTCAAGATGCAAACTTCCAACTTTAATTACATCAGTAAGTGATATGTGGGAGCTGAAATGACAAATAAATGCCTCAGAAATGAGCTGTCATTCTCCCCCTCTTATTAAAGCAACAGGAAGAAAGTGGTCATCGTCATACAGAAGATGTAATAAAACTTGTTTATCTGATGCTAGCTTGTGAGTATGAACAAAATATTTGTCTCACTTGTAATTCACAAATGCGTCTTATCAGTGAGGTTTTTTTAGTTAATGGATAGTTGCTGGCTATATAGCTAGGCTGTATTGTAATTAAACTGCCAAAGTGCGCAGGTCATTTTTATTTTGGAGTTTGTGGCATTTACCAAACAGCTTCAGGTGCTCTCAGGACCCTCTGGAATGGAGTGAGACAAACCATAATTTACATGTAGTGAAATGATGGTGAAAAATGCCAATCACAATTTCCCAAATCCCATGGTGACATTTGCACAGATCTGTTTTATTCGACCAACACTCCAAACCCGAAAGATATTCAGTTCCCTATCATAAAAGACCAGAAAACCAGAAAAGTTTGGCAAAAAAAAATGGCTCAAATCAAATAATGGATTATCAAAATAGTTGGAGATTAATTTTAAGTCAATCAGCTTATAGTTGCAGATCTACTCAAATCATATTTGGATTTCCAGACATAAGACACTTGAAATGACAATTTGAAATGGGGCCTTTTGATTAGAGGATTGTTAGTTACTTCTACTGTCGAGCTGATACTGGATTTTTGAGGCCCATACCAATATTGCTTGAGATTAATCACATTTGAGTGGTGAATCAGTGGCCCCCTTTACACAGAATGTTGGACGTGGGAATGTTGCACCTTTATTCTGCCACAAAGAATAAAATTATGAAGATGGAAAGGGGGGAGGGGTGCACGCGCATTGTTGTTCCGCTTTTAAGCCGGCAGCGGAGGTAGGAAGTAATAGTCTTATTGTCATCTATGATCCGGGATGGTGGGACAGACAGCGATGCTGTCACTGGCATGTTATCTAAAATCACACATTGGCATGGCAATGTACTGGCTTTGTTTGGTTCAGTGTAAACAAGCCAAGGCTACATACTGAGGGGTCTTTTTTAATGGCAATAGAGTGGGATCTCTATTTAAAAGGGGCTGGTTGGACTGGGTTTTGAATATTGCTAACCACCAATGTCTGAGTCTCCAAGACCTCAATTAGGCATTGTCAGTTTGAGTAGAGTTGTCCAGCTATATCTATGCAAAGTAACAAATATGAAATAACAGGTATCAAACGGTCGGGAATCTGTTGATATTTTTTTGTGTATTATGACGTCTCTGTCGACGCACTGCTTCTCCGCTTATGGAATTAAAGGTTCCAAGTCTTTTGGCCTTGCTTGTGTGTTAATGGTTGGCATCACACAAAAGGCATCTGTTGGTTCAGTTGGCCAACATATTGCCAAACATTGATTAGAATATAAAAGTGTTGTTGGCAGAGAAACATTGTTATTGTCCTGCTTTTCCTGCTCACAGATGAGATGCTGTAAATGTGACTCATTGAATGAGATGGATTTGGAAGAGATCCCTTTTCTGTCCTCGCAACCCAAATTTTTTGATGAAAATGTTAAAGCACTAATTGCAGAAGCCATTTTTTGTTTTAAAATGTGGTGGGAGTTAGCTGTCACATTATTTAGGCTTGTGTCAAAAGGATGTAAACACTGTCTAGCTACAGAGTGAGTTATAGTGCGCTCTGGTTGTCTCACTTTATTTGGAACTCATTATGGACCTCTTTGATTCTGTTACAGGCCTTCACACTTGATGTAGCTTTTTATTGTGTTTTTGGCTGCATATGTCTCAGGCTTAAGTCTTTTAAATGCAGTGGCTTATGACTTCTTAAATTCAGTGTTGATTTTATATTTTTATCACTTTGGGGAAAAAAACTTTGGCAAAGTTTTTGTTGTTTGCTTACCAGTGTTGCTGGTAGATCATAAAACACTATAGCTGTAACCAAATATATCAGTTTTCAGCTTGAAATAGTCAAGCTTGGTATTGCTCTGACTCACATTAGTTGATTATGCTGTTCTGAACTACGTAAGAAGCTCAAAAACTTTTTATTTAAATGTAGTGGTTATACTGTAGTTGTTTGAAGTTTGGTTTGAAGCAGTGTGAAATGCTTCTATGCTATCTATAAGGAGCATTGGTGGTTTTGTCTGATGTTTTAAGCAGCTGCATTTATTCCAGCTGTTTATCAGCAACAGGCTAGCTTTTCTCGATGGTGTGGTTAGCTAATGCAATGGTAGTCATGCAGGCTGAGGAAGAGTCAGGGTCAGAGGAGTGCTCTGCCTTCTGCTCTGTAGCTAATGAAAGCCACAAGTAATTAAATGTCTACAGCCGGAGCCCAGGGAGCTGCAGTAACGACACCAGTTTGTGAGCTTTCTGGAGTAAATAGGAGCGGAACAGTTACAGTCATTTGCATATATTTTTTAAAGTGCTGATGTCAACTTTTACATTATTTTCACTAACCAAAATTATCAGATGAACACTGAAGAATGTAGAGTATCTGATGATGAGTTAGCTTCCTGTTCACTAGCAAGGGTCAGACAGTTATCAGAAATAAGCCTCATTTCCCTTGATCTTGAATTTGATCATTTACTATAAAAATCGCCTTTTTCTTTATGACAAAATATTCGCATATTTTTGTGATATATTTTTCTCAGGACTATGATGTACTAACTTATATATTTTATATTATAGCAAGAAATTTAACCACATATCAATGAGAGGTTTTTGTTTTGTGTAAACAAATTGAGCTGGTATGTTGTAACAACTATAAAGATATGTCATAAAAGTACCTTGTTAAAATGAGAACAAAGGATAGTATTTGAGACAGAAAGTTTATGTTACGCATTGTAGAAGTGTGCAAACAGTGACTTGTGACAGTGAGACACTTCTATGTAGATCTACTGTTGACTGAAGGTTAAGTCAATTATATGGATGGAAAAACCTGTAAAACGTGTACTAATGTGTACTGATGCACTGCTCCACAAGTGTGACATATTTTTTTTCTAATGTTTATATGGTAAAACGTGTTTCATAGCAGGCAAATCAGGAACATTTGACTAACTCCTTAAACACAAATACACCAATCAGCAACAACATTAAAACAGGTAACCAGTTACCTGTTTTAATGTTGTGCCTGATTTGTGTATATTATTGTTCTAAAACTGTCTTGATTAATGCATTTTACAAGCTTTATAAGAGGAGGTGCCACCTCTCCCTGCTTCTTACTAAATCCAAAACTGTATGTTCAGCATTGTGTATGTTTGAGGCCCAATCGCTGACAAATTAATGATTGTCTCATAATTTTATATTCTTAAAGGTCAAATCTTAGGTAACCAGACAAATGTAGTCTGCAGCAGGAGAGGTATGTTGCCTTATGTCAAATAAAGACCACCTTTTGCAAATGTCGGAGGATTTATAA